CCCAGTTGCTCCTCCTGGTTTATCTGCACGCGAATGTGGGACCACCTGGTCCCCCAGCCACGGCCTGGCCATGCGGACTCTCTGCCCTGGCTTCCCATCTCTTCCCCTCCTACCAGTCAGGATGAATGTTTCTTCTTTAACTCCTTGGTGGTTGGACTTCCATACAGTTTGATTTTCTGGCAGTTCTGGGTTGTTTTTTTTTGTTTTTAAATTGATTGTTGTCCTTCCTTTGGTTGTGCGAGGAAACAAAGTCTATCTACCTCTGCCTCCATCTTGGCTAAAGTCTGAAACTTCTGTTAGTTGACTATTGGGCCTTTTGGATCGATCTTCTAAAATTCTTTTTATTATTTATTTCTATATTTTTATCTTTATGATTTTCTTGACTTTGTTTTCTTCTTTTAACTTTTATTTATTGATTTTTAAAGAGAGAGCTATAAAAAGAAATGTCGATTTGTTGTTCCACTTGTTTATGCATTCATTGATTGATTCTTGTATGTGCTCTGACCGGGGATCAAACCTGCAACCTTGGTGTGTTAGGATGATGCTCCAACTAACTGAACTATCTGTTCAGGGCCCCATTTTATTTCCAATTTTTTTTTATTTCAGTTGTCATGTTTTCAAAATCCTAGAGCTTCTTCTTGTTCTCTGAGTATTCCTTTTGGAAAGCAATCTGTTCTTTGCTTTTTGGGGTTTTTTTTTTTTTTTTTCATGGATGCAATGCCTTCTTGAATTTCTGAGGCTTGCTTCTTCTCCCAGCATTTCTCTTCTTCCACCAAATGCCTTTTTTCAGTTTGTCTGTTTTTACCTCTGTAGTTCATGTTAGGAGTTTTCCTTAAGTGTGTGATAATCTTTGGTTCTCTATCTGCTTATATTTAAGAAGGAGGTACTAGGCATATTGGAGGGCCCAAGTGCATGGATAGGCAGTATTGACTGGTGGTCCACACTGACTAGGTGACTGAATGAGAACTGAAATAAGAGTTTCAGTAGGTTTATTCTCTGGGGCTATTGAGGTCAGTTTCTCTAGAGAGGAATCCTCCAGTCTTCTGATCCTGGAGGGTTTACCTTTGGCCACTGGTTCTGAATGCTGATTGGGAGAAAGGAGTTGATTCAATATATAACTTCCTCCTAATCCTTCCATTTTTAGTACAGTGCCTCATCCTCATCTCCTGCTGTGCCTGGTGTCCCTAAACCCAAGGCTCCCTCTTTCAGTTTCTCTAGAAAACAAACCTCATGCTTCTTTGGAAGTAGGTGGAGGGGAGTCATTTGGCTGAATGGGCAGGGGGAGAGGAGTGAGGGTCTGAATATTCCTTATACAATTTTTCATCTAATTTCTATATTTTAACCTGTGCCCATTCCTCCTGCCTTCCAAGTTAGCTAGTGTTTCTAATTCCTGAGCCTCTTTGGGCCACTGTCCCGAGAACCAGGTAGTTTCCCATTACTGCAGACATACTGGTTTTGACTCTGTGTCATTTGCTTAACCAGTTATCACTTTTTATCTGCGTTCTATCTTCTACCATTATTGACATCTCTTGCCTCTTGTCTCTTTTCTTATTTGTTTTATCCTTCCAGAATTAAAATTTGACTGATGTAATTTTAGTGGGATTTCAGGAAGGAGGAGTGGTAAACATATGTGTTTAATCTGCTGTGTTTAATTGGAATGATCACAGACACCATGAATTTATAGCGATACCAATTTGAATGGTTGGGTGGTTTTCACTAGCAGAACCCAGCAATCTTGGTGCATTTGGTAAGAGGAGAACTGGTCAGTTGGATTGGGGTTTTGCCAGGTGGGTTTGGTGGAAGGACAGTAGGCCTGGGAGTTGAGGATTTTGGACAAAGTGTAGTTGAAATGATTAACTGTACAATCTAGGTTGTATTAGTGAAGGAAAGAAAGATATGGAGTTGATGGTTACACGGAGCTTATGGACTAGAGATCCCATGAAGTCAGAACAAAACTTGTGACTTGTGAAAAAAAGCAACATCTCAGCCAGGGGCTAAAGTGCTGTTTCTAGCCCTATTCATGTCTTTTTTGCTTTATCATTCTGTATTGCAGATTAGTGTCCTTCTTGCTTTTAAAAAGAAAAATTCTCTGCGGGCAGGGTTCTTCCCTCTCTCAGGTACCCAGGGCAGGGTTCTGTATGGGGAATGAAGGAGTGGTGCCTCACCTTCTGTTTACCCCTGGAGGCAACTGGAGGTGTCCAGAGCCTTTGCCTCCAGATTTCATTTCTGAGAGGTGACTGACATGGAATGGACAAAGAAGGTGCCAAGTGGAGGGAGCCATGGTCTTCTCTGCAGACGTTCTCTTCAGAGCTATGGGGAAAGGCCTCCCTCCAGCCAGGGGTTTCTCTTTCTTCAATAGTTGTTTCCCCCTGCCAAGCCCCTTGCAACCCGTTTTCCACCCAGACAGAGACTGGAATGTCTTCCCTGGCCTGCTTGCCATATCAAGGGCCTGAGCTCCTATGAACACCAGCACATACCTTGGAGAATCTCTCTTTAAGTCCTTTATTTTACAGAAACTGAGGTCCTGATGTATCCTCATTCCTGGCCCATGACCTTGACATCACAGCAAACTCTGCCTGAGAGAGCTGTGCATGAGGAAAGCGAGCATGATGGTTAAAGAGCAGAGACTTCAGAGCCTGACACACCTGGGTTCAAACCCAGCTTGGCCACATACCGGCTGTGTGATCTGGACAAGTTAAACACATAGTGTCTTTGAAATCTCAGTTTCCTCATCTTCAATTGTTGGTAACAATCTTATCCCAAACAGTTGTGAAGATTAGAATAATAAATATTGAGTACAGAGTGTGGCAAATAGTAAGTACCTACTTCAGTGGTACCTACTTTGATTAGACTCTCTCCCTTAAGCCTCTCAACCTAAACATCTCACTGCTACCACCCAACAGGAGGGCTAGTGTGAGGCCAGAGGAAGGATTGACTCTCATTCTTAAGGCCTGGGTCAGCTTACTTATTTGCTCCAAACTCAATCTACTTAGGAAAGTTTAAGCGTAAGACCACCAGGGACCCTTGAACCTTTCTTTTTAACTAGTGTGGAGTCCAGTGGCTGTTGACAGTGGATTACGTTAGAGCAGCCCACCTTGAGGAAGGTTCCTCCCTTTCCACAGTTTTTTGATCCTCTTGTCCCCTCACTTGGGGGATTTCCCAGGCCTTGGTGTTTGCTCCTCTTTCCTTGGCCATCTCTCTGAACCTTCTCTCCCAGGGACAGTGGAGTTGGTCACAAGGCTTCAGCTGCACCCTGACTCTCAAATCTGCTTTCTGTTCTAGCATCTTAGCAGAGCTCTGGGCCTGACTGCCTCCCAAATGTGTACCTGTAGTTCCAGGACACCTCCACTTGGATGAGTATTTCCAAGAAATAACCATTTTATTTTCCATCCGGCTTCCCTTTTCTACATTCAGTTTCTTTCAGGGGCACAGTTATTCTTCCAGCCACCCATGCTTGAAACCCCAGGGTTACCTTTGACTCTTCCTTCTCCTCCAACGTAGATTCCATAAGTGTTGAACTCTGTGTAATCTAGTGAGTGCCAAGCCTGCATATTCCGCTCTCTGTCCTTTCCTACTGACATCATCCTCTTCAAGTGTGGATCACCTCTTGCCTGGCTTATGGCAACAGCCTGTTACTTCTGCGTCCTGCTGCTATACACTAGTCTTCTGAGAGCATCGATTTCATACATTATTCCTTGACACAAAATCTTTCAGTGACTTCCTGTTTTCTGCGGGACAAAATTTAGATTCCTTGGCCTGGCTGGCACTCCCAGCTCCCCGTAAGCTCATGCAGCTGTGCTCCAGTATCACTCTCGCAGACTCTCCCTCCAGCCAGCTGGGCCTTCGCTGACCTTAGAACAAGCCACACTCATTCCCCATGTAAGCTCATGGCATTCCTCCCCTCTTCCTCCTCTTTCACTTAGAAGATTCAGCTCCAGTCCCCTCTCATCTTCACCAGTCTTCTGCCTTCATCGATCCCTTCTCCTCTTGTCCTGAATAGCACTTGGGGTCAGCATCCAGCCAAGCCCTGGGCTATAACTGTTGCGGGTGTGTCTGTGTCTTCCCAGTGGGACAGGGAGGCTTTCTGAGTCCCAGCACTCTGTCCTGAACACAGCTGGTGTTCACTTCAAACAGCCACTCCCTGCTTATTGAGCACTCTCAGCCCGAAAGGCATAGGGTTACACTTACTTAACAAGATCCTTCCTCAATGTAACCTCCTTTCCTTCCTGCCCTGTTGGAGATTGGGACAGTTCTGAAAAGTCTCTGGGGGTTGGGACGCAGAGATCAGGCTCTGAGGTTTGCCTTAGTAAACCATTTCACCTCCATTGGTCTTTCTCAGGCTCCCCTACCCGCTCTGCCTCCCCTCCCTTTGCCCTTCTCTCCCTGCCAAACATCTTCCAGGAACCCCATTCTGGACCCTTTGCTTCAGGGTGGGAAGCCCCTCTTCCTGCTGGCTCTCTGCTCCTCTTAACTCTGATGTTAACTTGGCATTTTTTTTTTTTTGCCTTTTATCTCATTTTCCACCTTTTCCCTGTCAGCTAATGATTATTCAGGGAACTTAACCTATTGTCCCTATCCCAAATCTGTGTACATTTTCTTAAGGGCAAGGTCAGGAGGGTGATGTCACGGTCATGTGACTGCTGCTTATACCTCACCCCCTCTACAGCCCTGGTCTTATCATTCTGAAAAGCAATTGGGTACCCTGCTTCCAGCTTGTCTGAACAAGAGCCTCGAACAGAAAGGTACGCTGCTTGTTGTTGCCTTAGATGGGCAGTGGCCACTAGGTTTCACATGCTCAGTGCTAACTGCCTTTTCCCCTCTCATTTGTTTCAACTGGCTTTCTCCCTAGACGCTCTCATTTGCCCTTGTCTGTACAGTGAAGGCTGGGACTGAGCTGCAGGACTGGAGCCTTAGGCCCATTAAGGCATTGGGCTTCTTGCTGGTTCGGTCCAGATGAGGCACACAGGCTGAGTAGGGAGTAACTCCTGCTCTGTCCACAGATTTTATCCTGATGGCTGACTCCCAACCACTCTTCTCCCTTGACTGGGACCCCGTGGCTGCAGAAGCCTTGCTCCGGGACGTGTTTGGGATTGTTGTGGATGAAGTCATTTGGAAAGGGACCAGTGCCACTGAGAAGGTGAGTCCTTTCTTCCTTTTCTTCTTGCCCATCAACCTGGCTCAGAACTTTCCACCTCCCACGGCCTTCTCCCCAGACTTTGTGACTGCCTCACTGTGTGCCTCAGGGATTGTGTACTGGGTCTCACTGTGTTTATTTACCTTTGTTCATGTGTGGCTTTGAAAATAATCCTCACTTGCTGCTTTAAGTGCACGTTGGTGGTGTCCTGTGTATATTGAGATGTGGTTTGGACAGCCAGTTGATAGAATGTTCCGCTTGTCCTCCGAGGTCTGCGAGTGGAAGGAGCCAGAGGAGCTGAAGCAGCTGCTGGATTTGGAGCTGCAGAGCCAGGGGGAGTCACAGGAGCAAATCCTGGAGCGGTGCCGGGCTGTGATCCGCTACAGTGTGAAGACCTGTGGGTCCTGGGTGCTGGTGGGAAAAGCATCTGGAGTTCGTGCCCAGCTCCACTCTGAGCTCCCTGCCCACTTCTCCAGGTCACCCTCGTTTCTTCAACCAGCTCTTCTCCGGGTTGGATCCTCATGCTCTGGCCGGGCGCATCGTCACTGAGAGCCTGAACACCAGCCAGTGAGCCACGCCAAGAGTCCCTCCTACCGCTCCACGGAGGGCAGGGGTTTGCAGGAGACTGCCCTAGGGGGAGGGGAAGAAATGGTTTTTGCCCCCTCCTCCATTTTCTGAGAATCTCTGCTGCATAGTCTTTCCCTTTGTGCCCTTTGGGCTCCCTTTCTCTAAGCCTTCTCCTGCCTCCTGATCCTAGTTTGTTCTCATTCTTGCTTCCTTGGTTCTTTGTCACCAACTCCGTCCTGTCTTTGAGCCCTTCCCTTGTTCGTTCTCACTGCCTGCTCTGACTCCTCTGAGACTCTCAGCTGGTGTCCCTCCCTGTCCCTTCCCTTTTCTCGTTGTTCCTTCTCCTGGCAGGTACACTTATGAAATCGCCCCTGTGTTTGTACTCATGGAAGAAGAAGTGCTAAAGAAACTTCGGGTGCTGGTGGGCTGGAGCTCTGGGGATGGGGTCTTCTGCCCTGGTATGTGAGAAGGAGGGGGGTCTTTTTTGGCCTTTTAAAGGGTTCCTCCTTCTCCACAATTCTCTTGCTCTAAGCTGGCAGGGAGGGGGCATTCCTCTTCATTTTCTCTCCAGCTGGGCTCTGGCCAAACCAGAAAGAGGCTGCCCAATATCCTGTATCCCTGTGTTTGCCAAACAGTCCTTGGGGTCAGTGCTCCTGTGCCTGCTGTCTCTGGGCAGGGGCTGTTTTGGATGCAGCCCAGGATACGCTGGGGGACAGTCAGGGGATCTAGATCCCTGCGCTGTTCTTAGCTATCAGGCCATTTGTAGAGCCCTGGGAATCCGTGACTTGGGGGCCAAGCAGTTGTGTTTCTTTGATCAGTTCTTCTGGGTGGAGAGGTCAAGAGAGGCAGGCTCCAGTTTTGACCCACTGCCTCTATCTCTTGCCACCATCTCCCTCTGTGACAGGTGGCTCCATCGCCAACATGTATGCCATGAACCTGGCCCGCTATCAGCGCTACCCGGATTGCAAGCAGAAGGGCCTCCGGGCACTGCCACCCCTGGCCCTCTTTGCAACAAAGGAGGTGGGGAAGAGGCACAGGCCTACCCCAGGCTCTTGATTCTAATCTCTAGCCAGCGGAATCTGAGATCTGTCAGGTTCACCGCCTGCCCAGACTCATCCCCTCCAAGACCAGCCTGCTCCCAAGCATATGTGCTTCCTTCCAATCAAGGGGGCCTCCCATTCAGCTTGCCTTCAGTCTGGGGTTGGGGAGAGGGAGGGGCAACGGGTGAGGCAGACACAGTCCACACTTTTCCCACCCAGAGTGTAGTCAGTCCATAGACCAGCAGCATAGATCGCTGGGGCATTTCTTAGAAATGCAGAATCTCAGCCTCCATCCCAGATTTACTGTATATGGCCCTGCATTTTGATCAGATACCCTGGCAATTCGAAGGCTCATGAATGCTTAAAAAGCCCAGGTCTACAGGGACTCATCTATTACAGCTCACACTTGACTTTTACTAGTTTCTTTCTTTCCCATCCTCCTGCCCTCCCACCTCTAGCCTAACGTGCTCTGCCTTCCTCCGCAGTGTCACTACTCCATCAAAAAAGGAGCTGCTTTCCTGGGACTTGGCACTGACAGTGTCCGAGTGGTCAAGGCAGATGAGAGGTGACGGTCCTGTCCTTGTGGCCCTGGCTGGGCTTGGTGCTGCATACTTTTCTGCTGTCAGGAGCTCTGGCTGCAACCCCACACCTCTTGTAGACTTCTGTCCCCTCTCTGTTCCTGCAGAATTGTCTCTTCTGTCTCTTCGTGCTAGAGTCTCCTATCCTGTCCCCTGAGATGTGTACCCTTCTTAGAGAAAAATCAACACTGTGGCCTTTGTATTGCTAACCCTGTATTACCCTGTTCTCCACACTTCCTAGCCTAGAGAACCAATCATGTCTTTACCCACTCAACTTTATTTTCCAGAGGGAAGATGATCCCTGAGGATCTGGAGAGGCAGATCTGTCTGGCCAAGGCTGAGGTGAGTGTGTGAGGTGAGTGTGTGAAGCCTGGGGTGTGCAGCAGGGTGTGGAGCTGGGTCACACCCCTTTCTTGGCGGCTCTTTGGGCTCTTCCTACTCAAGGCTGCCCTCATCCCTCTTCTTGACCTCTGTGCCTGCCCCCCACCCCCCCGGCTCTGTGAGCTGAAATGATCTATGGGGAGTCTGAGGGGTGAGCAGTCTCCAGTCCTCTCAGGGACTCTGCTGAGACCCACAGGCAGGATCTGACCCCAAGAGGAAGGAGCAGGACTGAGTTACTGAGTAGAACCCCAAGGTGGCACCTCAGAGAGGGTGCTGGGGGCCTGAGGTGTGCTGTGGAAGGTTTGTGTGAGCAGGGAAGGCCTGGCAGAGGGAGCTTTGAGAAGATGTGCGGGCCAGTGCTGAGTGCAGACTATGAGTGGTGGGAAATGTGGAGGCCCAGCACCCCCTCCACCCTGGGGGGCTACATGAACCACTGCAGCCATCATGGAGGGCATTTTGATACTGCATATAAATTTTAAATGTATCTGTTCACTGATTCAGAGTTCCACTGCTAAGGTTTATTTTGTAAATCATCATCATAGTACTTTGAATTCTGTGCACTGGGGCAAAGTGTAAAATTTTTTTAAATTTAGTGTCTATCAGTAGATAAATTATGATACCATATTTGTGTCTTGGTTTCTTCTTTTGTAAAATGAGCATAATGTAGAAGTTACCACATAGGACTGTTATAAGGATTAAATGAATTATATGTGAAGCACTTAAAACCCATGAAGCACTGTATAAATGTTAGCTACTATTACTGTTGTTATTGTTATTATTAGAGTACTATGTAGACATTTAAAAGAGTAAAGTGGAAACATATGTACTAACATGAAAATACCTCCACTATAGCCCTGACTGGTGCGCCTCAGTGTGTTGGGTGTTGTTCCACAAAGCGAGGGGACCCTGCTTTGATCCCCAGAGCACATGCCTGGGTTGCAATTCGGTCCCTGGTTGGGTACATGTGAGGCTCAGTGGATCCATGTTTCTCTCTCACGCTGGTGTTTCTCTCCTTCTCTTTCTCCCTCCCTTCCCCACTCTCTAAAAATAAATAAATAAATAAAATCTTTTTTATAAAAAAGAAAATACCTCCACTATATATTTAAGTCTATATATATATAAAGTATATACAGCAAATTGCAGTATAGGAAGGGCAGTTTGAGCTTATTATTATTTAGAACAATATGAATTTATTGACATAGGGATGTTACTGCTGAGGAGCAGAATGAGTAGCAATTAGAACAGTGGAGTATCACTGTTTATTGTATAAACTTTTTTTTAAGAGCTTTATTAAGATATAATTCCATTTACATGACATACAATTCACCCATTCATAGTGTACAATTCAGTGGTTTTTTAACATATTTACGGAATTGTGCAACCATCACTGCAATAAATATCAGAATATTTTCATCACCCCCAAAATAAACCCCATACCTTCTAGCTATCAATCTGCAATACTCCCATACTTCCGATTAGGCAACCACTAATCTACTTGGTGTCTCTATGGATTTGCCTATCCTGGATTTTTCATAGGAATGGAATCATACTACACACGGTCTTGTGTGATGAACTTCTTTTCTTTAGCATAACGTTTTTAAGGGTCATTCATGTTGTAGCACATACCAGTTCTTCATTCTTTCTTATTGCTGAATAATATTCCATTGTGTGGGTATGCCATATTTTATTTATTAATTTCTCAGTTGATGGACATTTGGGTTGTTTCCAGTTTGGGGCTATTATGAATAATGTTACTCTGAATATTTGTGTAGAAGTTTTTATGTGAACATGTGTTTTTCATTTCTCTTGGTTATATACCTGGTGGTGGAATTGCTGGCTCATCTGGTAATTCTATGTTTAACCTTGGAGGAGCCATCAGACCATTTTTCAAAGTGACTGCATCTGCCCTGGCCAGTGTGGCTCATTTGGTTGGAGCATTGTACCATAACCAAAAGGTTGTGGGTTTGATGTTTGATTCCTAGTCAGTGTGCATGCCTGGATTGCGGGTCTGATCTGCAATCCAGGTGTGAATGAGAAGCAACCAGTTGATGTTTCTTTCTCACACCGATGTTTCTTTCTCTCCCTTCCTCTCTCAGTGGCTCTTTCTATAAATCAATGAAAAAAAAATGTCCTCAGGTGAGGATTAAGAAAAAAGTGACTGCACCAGTTTAGAATTCCACCAGCAATGTATGAGGGTTCCAATTTCTCCACATCCTCACTGACACCTGTTATTTCTTTTTGGTTATAGCCATTTAAGTGGGTGTAAAGTGCTATCTTGCTGTGGTTTTGATTTGCATTTCCCTGATGACTAATGATGTTGCGCATCCTGTCATGTGCTTACTCTGTTCTGTTCAAGATATAAGTAAGTCCCTTATCAGATACATGATTTGTTTGATTTGTAACATCTTCCTCTATTCTCCAGTTTGTCTTTTCACATTCTTGATGGTGGCCTTTGAAGCACGAAAGTTTTACATTTTGATGAGTCCCAATTTATTTTTTTCTTTGATTACTTGTGCTTTTGATGGCGTATCTAGGCAGTCTTTGCCTAATCCAAGCTCCTATGTCTTCATATAAGATATTCGTAGTTCTGGTTTTTACATTTAGTTCTATGGCTCATTGTGAGTTAATTTTTGCATTTGACATGAGAAAGGGGTTCAAGCTTCATTTTTTAAATGGTTTTTAAAATTGAATTTATTGGGATGATATTGGCTAATAAAATTATATAGGTTTCAGGTGAACAGTTCTATAATACATCATCTGTATATTGTATTGTGTTTTCATTACCCCATGAAAGTCTCCACCCATCACCATTTGTCCCCCCACACCCTCTTCTACCTCCCCCACTCCCCTTTCCCTCTGGTAATCACTACACTGTTGTCTGTGTCTATGAGGGTTTTTTGGTTTGTTTGTTTTTTGCTTAATCCTTTCACCTTTCTTACCCAACCCTAAAAAGCCCTCTCCTCTCTGACAGCTGTCAATAATTTCATTTTTTTTCCCCCTGTATGTGGATATCTAGTTGTCCCAGGACCATTTGTGAAAAGACTCTTCTTTCCCCCAGTGAATTGTCTTGTTGGAAATCAATTAATTGTGAATGTGAGAGTTTATTTCTGGATTTTCAATTCCATTTCATTGATCTGCATTCTATACCATAGACCACATTGTCTTCATTAATGTAGCTTTGTGGTAAGTTTTGAAATCAGGAAATGTGAGCCCTCCAAGTTTGTTCTTTTTTTTTCAGATAGTTTAGGTCCGCTTGTCAATTTCTGTCTGCAAAGAAGCCAATTGGGTTTTTTTTTAAAAAAGGATTTTAAATATTTATTTATTTTTACACAGAAGGAAAGGGAGGGAGGGAGAAAGAGAGAGACATCAATATTGGTTGCCTCCAATATGTGCCCCAATCAGGGACGGAACCTACAAGCCAGGCATGTGCCCTGATGGGGAATCAAACTGGCACATTTTGCTTTGCAGGATGGTGCACAAGGGACTGAGGCACACTTGGTAAGGGCACCTCTTTTTTTTTTAGAAGTTTGTAAAGAACTGGTATCAATTCTTTTTTATTAATTTTTTTATTGATTAATTGATTTTAGAGAGGGAGAGAAAAGGGAGAAAGAGAGAAACATTGATTTTTGTTGTTCCACTTATTTATGCATTCATTGGTTGATTCCTGTATGTGTCCTGACCAGGGATCAAACCCACAACCTTGGCATATAGGGATGATGCTCTAACCAACTGAGCTACCTGCTCAGGGCTATCAATTCTTTTTTAAATGTTTAATAGAATTCATCAGTGAAGCCATCTGGGCCCGGGATTTCTTTGTGACTTTAAAAAAAAATGCTAATTCAATTTCTTTATAAACTTTTATACTACTAGAAATTTTTAAATAGCATTTGATCCTCTAGTAAGGCATTGAAATTTGAAAGAGTATGAGCTTTGGAGATAGACTATCAGACAGACCTAGGTTTGGATTCCATCTCTGGAGCTTCATCTTGGGAACAAGTTTCTTCGCACCTCTGAGTCTCAGTGTTTTACTTGTAAATTAAAGGAGATAGTAGTACTTTGTTGAAAGGGCCCAGGTCAGGCATGCAGAGAGTGTAGCAGTAGAGCCTGACAGCAGTCTCTGGGTTGCCTTTTAGATGACATCACAGCCTCTTCCTCCCTCTGCGTTTTTGCATTAGGGTGCTGTGCCATTTCTGGTCAGTGCCACTTCTGGCACTACTGTTCTGGGAGCTTTTGACCCCCTGGAAGCAGTTGCTGACGTGTGCCAGCGTCATGGGCTGTGGCTGCACGTGGACGTGAGTGGGATGTGGGACTGAGGGTGGGCTGGGCTGAACCAAGGCCAAACCCATGCTGTTCCTTCTGCTCCGCAGGCTGCCTGGGGTGGAAGTGTCCTGCTATCGCAGACACATAGACATCTCCTGGATGGGATCCAGAGGTACCTGCAGCTCCTGCTCCCTGAACCCCGCCATTCAAATTCTTGACCCATAGAATAGTCATGGTCTGAGCTTTGGATGGCAGTAGGGGGAAAGAGGTTGGTGGCGGGGAGATTGAGAGATGGTTGATTGGGACTGGGAGTTCGGATGGCAGGCATGCCAGTTCTTCCCGACTGCTGTGCTAGTGTGAGACTAAATCCCCTTTACTGAGGTCCAGGAAGGGAGAGGAGCTTGGCTGGACAACGTAAGGGGGAACCAGCTGACCCAGCTTTGCTGCACCTACCCTAGGGCTGACTCGGTGGCCTGGAATCCCCACAAGCTCCTCACAGCAGGCCTGCAGTGCTCAGTTCTTCTTCTCCGGGATACCACGGTGGGTCTGCCCACGCCCCTGGCCTTGTCCCATCTCTCACCTTAGACATCTGTCTTCTTTTCTCTCTCACCTTAGAGGGGGTCCTGGCCTTACTGTGTTCTCTTTACCATCCCATCTGAAGCTGAATATCTGCGACCACCCTAATTCCCTGTACTGGGCTCTCTCACTGCCCCCATGGCCTGTCTTCATGCAAAGGAAAAAGTTTCCAGCTTGAAGTTGTAATTGAAGGGACCCTGGGTTAAGTTTGGGAAGAACTCTGGGTGTTAGGAGAAAACCCAGGCAAAGGGGCCGGAGTCGGATGGCAGCCATTCCATCACTACCACCTGGTTCCAGGGAAAGGAATGGGTGGGCTGAGCTAAGGGGTCCTCTAATAAAGTGCTAGAGGAAACCTGGGTGGAGACGGTGGGTCTGACAGCCTCCCACCCACCCACAGAATCTGCTCAAGCGCTGCCACGGGTCCCAGGCCAGCTACCTCTTCCAGCAGGACAAATTCTATGATGTGGCCCTGGACACGGGAGACAAGGTGGTGCAGTGTGGCCGCCATGTGGACTGTCTGAAGCTGTGGCTCATGTGGAAGGCACAGGGGGCGCAAGGGCTGGAGCGGCGAGTCGACCAGGCCTTTGCCCTTGCCCGGTAGGAGTCGGCGCGGTTCCAGCTCCCCTCCTCAATTCCCTTTCCTGAAACCTTTTACTGCTCTCAGGTCTTCTCCAGCCCATTCTCTGGGTCTGTTTTATTTTCTTTCCTCCCGCACCTGTGATTTCTCACTCTCTGTTCGAAGTTACCTGGTGGAGGAAATGAAGAAGCGGGAAGGATTTGAATTGGTCATGGAGGTATGACCTACCCTGTGCTCTTTGTTCCTGTACCCCTAGCCTATCCTACAGGCAAACCCTGACAAAGAGGGGCAGTGAGGGGGGACAGTCCCCGCTCCTCAGCTCACACCTTTCTCTTCCGCATTCCTCCCAGCCTGAGTTTGTCAATGTGTGTTTCTGGTTCCTGCCCCCGAGCCTGCGGGGCAAGAAGGAGAGTCTGGATTACAGTGAGAGGCTGGCTAAGGTAGGCTTTTTCTTCGCCACAGCTCTGGTAAAACCCAGTAGAGGGAACGCAGCTGGTGCATTTACGCCCCCTGCTGGCTATGGGTGGCATGGCTGTCCCTTTGCTGGTCTATTGCTTCTGAGGTGGGGACAGGAACTGGAAAACAACTTGTCCTCGTTTCTGTGGGGATGGGGATGGAAAATAAGGTATGTTTCTGGAAAGTCAGAAGAAGACAGGGAGGAGTATTACAGGGTAAGTCACCAGTGCATATAGACCCCTGTGCTGGGAGTTCTGCAGGGAGCTCAGGTCTAGGACAGGGATGTGAGGCAAGAAGATCACTGAAGAGCTTTACTCACTGATACTGGGGACAGACAACCCAGTAAGGCCAGTCCAGACATGCCTCCTACATGTGAGGAAATATGTCATAGATCCCTAAGTATAGGTTAGTGGGTGCTGCAAATGGTCTGAAAGGACAAGAATGTTCTTGCCTTTAAGGAGTAATATTTAGAAAACAAGACTTACCGATTTGAAACCAATGCGTTTAAGGAAATCTCGTAAATATACATGTTAGATCACAGGGTACAGATTAAAAGTATTACAGGAATTCAGAAAGGGGGAGAAGATGTTAAGAATGACTGAGGCTTGAAGTTAGACTAAAGCAGCGTTGTGAATCAGGGAAGCTGGGATTTGACAGAAAATGGCCCATGTGACAACCTGGAGATAGGCAAGATAGGGAATAAAGCAGACGGTAGAGAAGGCCAAGCGGGTTGGCCATGGCATAAAAGGTAAACTGGGGCCATGGTCAGGACCAGAGCAATGAGAGCTGCCTAGGGAAGGTGCCTAGGTGGAAGGGAAATGCATCTTGGATAACTCATTGACAGGTACCCTCTCCTGACCCCAGACTGCAGCTGAACATTCTGCACCCCTTCCACAGGTGGCCCCAGTACTCAAGGAGCGCATGGTGAAGGAGGGCTCCATGATGATTGGTTACCAGCCCCATGGGACCCGGGGCAACTTTTTCCGCATGATCGTGGCCAACCCTGCACTGACCCGGGCTGATATGGACTTCCTCCTCAATGAGCTGGAACGGCTAGGCCAGGACCTCTGAGTTTCCGCTTTCTCATGGTTGGCCTTGGCAGCCCCCTCACCCTCACTGGCTTCGTGTATTCCCTCCCTGTGTTCTCAAGACCAATCTTTTTAGAAAACAGAATGGCTGTAACAATGTTTATATCCTTTGACCCACTGACTCTCCTATTAAGTATTTGATATTAGGAGAATGTTTAATAAACTATAGTATATCCTTATGATGGAATTTTAGTCTGCCTTTAGAATTATGTTTAAAAAGAGAATTTTTATTGCTATGAGAAAAATAATTTTAATAAAATATGTTGAAAAATCTGGATATAGTACTTTATATAGAGTAATATCTGAACTATATTTAAAAATACGTAGAAAAAGAGCGATGAAATATGCCAAAATGGTAATAGCTTTTTCCCTGGAATGGGATTATAGGCAATTTAAAAATTAATTTCTTGATGCCTTTTGTGCTCTCTCCTTTTATTATATAATGAATAGGCATTACTTTTATAATAGAAAAATAATAAAGTTGAAATTTCAACTATATTATTGTGGTATGTTTTGAAGTTTCTTACCTTTCAACCTAAAAGTGGAGAATGCAAATTAATTTTTTAAAAAAGGCAGATGAAAGAGAAAAATTTTATCCACAAAATAGTTTAGCGGCAGGGGTAAGACCAAAACTGGAGTCACACTAAAATTCATTGTACTTTAGTGACATTGAAACAAAATGGGCTCTGACTGTATCTTGAGACCAGAGACTTCTCATCTTATTCTTTTTTTTAGAAGATTTTATTTATTTATTTTTAGAGAGGGGGGAGGGAAAGAGAAAGAGAAGGAGGGAAACATCAATGTGTGGTTGCCTCTAGTGTGCCCCCCAATAGGGAACCTGGTCTGCAACCCAGGCATGTGCCCTGGCTGGGAATTGAACCAGTGACTTTTTGGTTCGCAGGCTGACACTCAATCCACTGAGCCACCCCAACCAGGGCTCCACTTATTCTTGAAAAATTCTAACAAAAACAGCAACAAGAACAACAACAACAAAAAACCCAGAAAGAAAGAATTTTCCTTTTGTAATTTAAACAGAAACCAAGTTACAAGAAAAAAACAAACAAATCAGCAAGCAAACCACTGTTGTGTCTTCTGTTATTGCTACTGTCTTACATAAAAACATTCATTTTACACTTACAATTCTGGGATGGTGTTCCTCAGTCACTTTTTGGGAAAGAGGCAGTTAGTTACACAAGTTACTAAGGACAAGTGGCAAGTCTACCACAACTTTGTTATTTCCAATTCTTAAAAATACCATTTATGAAACCAATATTGTGGTCATGTAAAAGTCACCCAAAGTTATTTGCAGAGGCAAATACAAACTATCCAAACCATTACAAGAGACCATCCAAATCTCAGACCCAATTCTCTTGGCCATTTTTTTTTGGGGGGGGAAGCTTTCTGTTTATATTTATTAATAATTCTCCTATAAATTGTTATTCTTGTTATAAATGGTATTTTAATTTCTTCTAAATAATAAAGTCATTTTGAGAGTATTAATAATTGAATTCCAAGCTTTCATCTTAAAGAGATGTAAATATCTACAAAATATCCTAAATTTAGTAAAAAGAAAAAACTATATAAAATCCTTATTTCCGACTCAAACCAAAGCCAGAAAGCAAAAATAAAAACAAAATCTTCAAGTTTCTTGAGCCATCTCTATTTGAGAAATATTTTTAAGAGAAGGCCTGAAAGACTGGACATAAAATCAGTTAATCACCTATTCTCCATTTTTGTAAAACTGATGCTTCTTTTTCTCTGTTCCCAAAATTCAACCTCAAAATCTCGGTACAGTACTGCAGTCCCTCTTTTGCTCCCTGTCTCCCATTGGCATTTACTGAGCTCCTGCTCTGTGTAATTCCTTTCTCTGCCTTCAAAGAGTTTAAGACTTAAGCAGTTATCACTCAGCCTGGGCACATCCCTGCTCCAGGGCTTTTGCACACGCTGTCCGTCCCCTTTTGCCTCAGTGTTCGTTTGTCTTCAGGGTTTGCTCTCTCATTGTTTTTACATTTTTGTTCCGACATCACTTCCTTAGTGAAGCGTTCTTTGCGTATGCTATTTAAAATTTCATTTTTACTCTCTATTCTTTTTTAAATTACATTTCATTGTTTATACTATTACAGTTGTTCCCATTTTCGCCCCTTTGTCCCCCTCCACTCAGCGCCCCCACTCCCTCAGGCAAACCCCCACACTGTTGTCCGTGTCCATGGGTCATGCATGTATGTTCTTTGGCTGCTTTTTTCACTATGTTGTACTTTACATCCTCATGACTATTCTGTAACTACCAATTTGTACTTCTTAATCCCTTCACCTTTTTTGCCCATTCCCCCAACACCCCTCCCATCTTGGTGCTTGGTTGATTCATCTCTTTTTTTAGAGATTTTTTTTTTTTTTAATGTGAAATAGAAACTTTTCTGGTTGGATTTCATATGCGGTGGGGCAAATGTAGGTTTACAGTTGTTCGTATGGAAAATAATACAATAATTAATAAAGAATAATATAAGGTTAAACTCTGCATTTTGTGTACCTACAATTGTAAACCTACTTTTGCCCCACCCTGTATAAAGATGGCAATGTTCGTACGACTCCTGGTTTAGTGTTAGCATTACAAATTTCATAGAATTACAGATCTTGGAGCCAAAAGGCCAGCGCAAATATTCATCTGACACAACCTTGGTCTTTAGGTCTTTATTTTATTAAAGATTTTATTTACCTATTTTTAGAGAGTGGGGAAAGGAGGGAGAGAAACATTGATGTACAAGAGAAACATGGATTGGCTGCTTCCCATATGCTCCCAACTGGGGACCCAGCCTGAAACCCAAACATGTGTCCTGGCTGGGAATCAAACCTGAGAACTTTAGGTTTGTGGACTGACACCCAGCCCACTGAGCCACACCAGTCAGGGCTAGGCAGCTTTTATTTTAATCTGTATTTTACAAATAAGGAGGCTGAGGCTGGGCTAAGCTAAGGTTCTTGACAATGTCACCAAAGCATTTATCTCTGAAGCAGAAGATGTATTTTATTCCAAAGAGGGATGCCATTTGTATGGACAGGCATCATCCCTTTAATTTTATCTCCCCAAAATATAATAATACTGTGCTTTCTTTTCTAGACTGATATTATGTCAGTTTTTTGAGATCCCATTTCCACATGTTAGAGGAGTCCAGTAATCTGATGGCCTAGTTTTGAAAATGTTCATGAAGTTCATTTTTAGCAAATTCTCTGGGGCCAACAATTAGCTTTCACATTTCCTTGATTTAGTAACATGTTATTTTTAGCTTTTTCTTATAACCACATACATTTTAAAGTTGGCTCAGAGGTTTAAGTGCTTTTAATGTCACCTGGAGTTGTGTTGGTGCTATTCCCTTTCGCTACTGAAAACGGACTTGAGGTATTGTACCAGGTATTGACACTGGCATTTCTTTGCGTGGGGAGATTTTAAACTACATATTCAACTTCTTTGATAAGGAGGCTCTTCAGGGCTATTTCTTCTTGAGTAAACTTAGGTACTTTTTGTCTTTCAAGAAATTATGTATTTCATCTAAGTTGTTGGGTTTATTGATATAAACTTGATTCCTTATTATCTTTTTAGTATCTGCAGACTCTGCAGTATTGTTACCTTTCTCATTTCTGATATTGGTGATTTGTGTTTTCTCTATTTTTTTTCCCTATTCACTTTATTTAGAGATTTATTGCTATTGATCTTCTCAAAGAACCTGGTTTGTTTCTCTGTTTCTTACTTGTTTTCTACTTAATTGATTTCTGCTTTACCAGTAATTGTTACTATGCCTTTCTTCAGTTTCTTTGGGTATAATTTACTCTTCTTTCTCTAGTTTCTTTCTTTCTTTTTTTAAGATCTATTTATTTACTTTTAAAGGGAGGGGAAGGGAGAAACATCGATCAGTTGCCTCTTGCATGCCCCCAACCATGGACCTGGTCAGCAACCCAGGCAGGTACCCTGACTGGGAATCAAATCGGCAACATTTTGGCTTGCAGGACACACCCAACCCACTGAGCTACACCAGTCAGGGTTTCTGTGTCTAGTTTCTTGAGGTGGAAGCTGAGGACATTGATTTTAGATTTTTCTTTTTTTCTAATATAGGTTTTCAGTACTATAAATTACCAAGTACCACTTCAGCTTCATCTCATAAATGTTGATATATTGTGTTTTAATTTTCATTTGGTTCAAAATACATTCTAGTTTCTCTTTTTTTAATTTATTTTTATTTTTTATTGACATTTACTTTTTTCTTTCCAATCTTTACTTTTTTTATTTTCTTGCCTTATTGCCCAGCTAAAACCTCTAATACAATATTAATTAGTTACATTCACATAACTTTTATTACAGTGTATGGTTATAGTGTTCTATTTTATTGTTAGTTACTATTGTTAATCTCTTATTGTGTCTAAGTTTAAAATTAAACTTTATCATAGGTATGTATAAACAGGAAAAAAAAAAAACATAGTATATAGGGTTTGGTACTAACCATGGTTTCAGGAATCCACTGATCTTGGAATGTATGCCCTGTGGATAAGGGGGAGGACTACTATAAATGGCATCTGAAGAACACACTTCTAAATAACGCATGAATCAAAGAATAAATTAAAAGAGAAACTGCCCTGGCTGGTGTGGCTCAGTGGATTGAGTGCTGGCCTGCGAACCAGAGGGTCTCCGGTTTGATTCCCAGTCAAGACACATGCCTGGGTTGCAGGCCAAGTTCTGCGTCGGGGGTGTGAGGCAACTACACATTGATGTTTCTTTCCCTCTCTTTCTCCCTCCCTTCTCCTCTCTCTAAAACTAAATAAATAAAATATTAAAAAAATAAAATTCATAAGGAAATGCAAGTGATCTAGAATAGCTAAAACCAACATTTAAAAAGAAAAATGTTGGCGGACTTACGCTACCTGACTTTACTACTTAATATAATCAAGACAGTGTGGTGTTAGCGTAATGGTAGACAAATAGATCACTGAAACAGATATGAGAGTCCAGAAATAGATCCACACATATACAATCAATTGATTTTTACCAAAGATGCAAAGGCAATTCAGTAGAGAAAGGAGAATCTTTTCAACAAAGAATGGTGGAACAACTGGCTGTTTATATGCAAAGTTAAGTTAGACACCATGCTCTGAAACTGTGAGGAAACAGGAAACCTCATGCACTTATGGTGAAAATGTAAATCTCCAGTTCTAGTCATTCTGGAAAACATCTGGTAGTTTTTAGGGTAACTTAGTATGTCTTAAGAACTAGTTCATAGAAAATCTCACAAAGAACTACTGTCCCCTCAGGCCCATTCTAAATGCCCACTCCTAGGTTAAGGCATATATAAAATGTGGTGTGTGCATATGAT